AACATCTTACATTGATAAGATATTCGCTTCAAATTCTTACTTCGATAAACGAAGGAAGAATCCCCAAAAACTTCACGATTCAACCAGAATCTGTGAATCGGTGGTCCACGGGCTAACGCACCCACGACACAGGTAAAAATCCCGCGCAAGCAGCGATCCAAACAATGATCCTGCGTTTGTTTCTAAGGAGCTTGTAATTTGATTTTTTTGTTGTAAAGAGTAGTTTTACAAAGTATGAAGCTCACTCTTTTATATTCATTGTAATCGATAAACAGTTATAATGAATTCTACAACAGAACTTGTTCCTGACGTAAACATTCACGAAAGAGAGACTCAGAATCATAAGTTTTGTTTTGAAAAATTCTCATATTCCTTTCCCTCCAAATTCCATACACAGTGACAGACATGGTCATCCTCTTGAAATTCTTCACAATGCCTTTACCCTTGAGGTTGCAGCAATACCAAGTGATAACATGATCTCATTTACATGATCTCCTTACAAAATTCAGCCATGCCATCACCTTATTCTAGACCTGAGAAGAGAACTAGCAATCAAAAAACAAGTGCTGGCAGGTTTCAATTTGATTTTGGCAGAGAACACACTTATTAGAATTAAGAATTCTCATTTTGCATAATCTGTCCTGAGTTAAAAGCCTTGAATGTGACACTAACCATAAGACAAACGAGTGTTTTGGATAGTTGAACCCCTCCCATACTGTTTCATACCAAGCAGTTTGAGAAGGTGGAGCATTTAGAATCTTGTAGATATGGGAGATTTGAATTTTACCATTTATCTGGCAGCTATTCATGATGCCGGAGATACTGACAACATTACCAAATTTGTTCCTCAACATATCCCTAGCTCTTAAGAGTTGTTTCCACATCCAGGAATCAGATACTTTTGCTTGAACTTGCTCATAACATATTGTATATCAATCTTGTAAGAATAATATTTGAATTAGTTTTAAATTGGCATAAAATCATATTAGATTAGCATAAGACCCTAATCATCCCCCCTCTAGGGTCTATCAGAACACTCAAAAAACAGATGATTTCTACTCTCCAGATATGCACCGGTGTATAGTACACATTTATTTGAATTTGTGATACCTCTCTTTAATAATCTGTCTTAAGTTAGCAGTTTGTTATTTATAGCTAACCAGCTGATAAACGTGTGCTTTGGATAGCACAAACCATCCCATATCACCTTGTACCACTGGATTAAGAGCATGATACAAGGCTGATATCTTCACATTTGATCCCCTACAACAAGATTTAATCAGGGAAAATAAGTTTCCAACACCTCCACAGGAGATTGCAGCTTTGTCTCTTGCTTTCATTAACGGTTTCCACATCCAAGAGTCCTCACTCCTTACATTGACATGCCAAACATCCCTTTGCTTCAAGTAAGTACCATGAATCCATTTGATCCACATCAACTCTCTGTTAACATGAATATGCCATAGATTTTTTTAGAGCAGCAGCCAAATTCTAGATTGTGGCAGAAAATATCCCAAGACCACCCTGCTTCTTACTTAGACATACTTTATCCCAAGAGACTAAGGGAAATTTATGAATTTGGCTTATCTTACCCCACAAAAAATTCCTACATAGTTCATCAATCTTCTGTGTAACTCTTACTGGCAAGATATAATTTGAAGTCCAAAAAAATTGAACTCCTAAAATAACACTTTTAATTACTTGTAACCTTCCAGCATATGAGAGCTTCTAGTTTTTTGTGAAACCTAGGTTGGGGATTTTTTAAACTGTTGAGATTTTGGATAAATCGATATGTTTCTAATTAATATATGTTTATTTTTATGCAGGTGGGAGTTATATTCCTTTTTAAATTCTAACATGGTGGCTATGACTATTTTAATTTTGATAATTGTGATTATATCGGTGGTGGATCTGATGTTAAGTTCATACACAAGGATGCAATGTCTATTGAATTTCTTAGAGAAAAAGTAAGAGAATTTGGCTACACGAATCTGTTCATATTAAAGTATGGTGTTCCAGGTATTGGTCTGAATGATGGTGGTCTGATGCCTCTAGATATATATTATGATTTGAAGAAGATGATGCAATATG